ATGTACCCTTTGTTGCTCAGAGTGTTCAATCAGGTAGATGGAGCATGAATTTCCCGAGGGTTATGTCCATATGTAGAACACATATGGGTTTCAGAAAAGTGAGAAAAACTCAATCATGAAGTAGGATCGAGCAAACAATGCTAAAAACTGGTCGAAATTAGAACGCATATTTCTGGCTCGGTATTGGAAGAACTTGGCGCCAGCAAACAGAGGCTGGAGCCAGATTTTGGCTTTAGCGCCTGGTGACAGAGGCTGTCGTCTGGCGCTAAGGTCAAAATACTGGCGCTAATCTTTGTTTGCTGACGCTAGTTCCTACATGCCTCAGCAGCTTTCTGTGCTCGATAAAATTTTCCAGTTTCGCGCAGTGTTATTTTGACCCTAGTTGTGAAAGATATTCCTCAAATTTCCTACGTGTAAAAATCCTATGTTTTAACTCATTACGGATGGTCTTTCCAATGAGATCTTTTTTATGCATATGACAATAATGTTAATTAAAATTACGCACATGAAATACTTAGAACTTTTCGAGTCTCATCCACTCATTCTAAATCATTGCCGAAATAAATTTCAGGAATTAAAATAGAAGTCCTCCCCAGTGGAGTCGCCAAAAACTGTAGGGAATATTTCAAGCATTATCCCAAACTTGAACCCCACTGTGATCATACACTAAAGTACGGTGGCGTCCAAAGGGAAAGAAGATAGAGCAAAAGAGTCGCCAACAAGTTTTAGGAACTTGTAAACCGTTCATAGGGTGAAGGTTACACCCCTTAACGATCCAAGAGATCGTTAATTCCAATAGGTCTTGAACCATGACTGGTAGTTCGGGGATGAAGGTACAAATCCAACCTAAAAGAGATTGAACCTGCCCTAATAATAGGCCTCTACTTTATTCAGATAGTATTCATGTGCGCTTTCTGACTAACATGCAATCAATAAGATTAACCCTAAACCTGTTTATCTATGTTGGTTGAATATTAATGCACAAATAAAACTATTATTGGCGATCACTTGAATTATAATCAAATTAACCCTAAACAAGATTATTAATTATCTTATTAAGCGTGATTACAAGTACAAATTCCCTTTAAACATGTATAAAAGGTGTGATCAAGCAATAAAAATAAATATCAAGCAACATAATAAATAATCATAAATTAATAATAATTATAACAATTATAAACAATCATGATCATGTTAAAGCATAATAATAGCAAGATCCTAGGCATGATACTAACAAGATTAATAACAAACCCTAGCATGATACTAAACAATAAAAATCAAATATATAGCCCTAACATGATACTAACAATCATAATTATCAGGAAGAACATAGGAAGCATCATACTTTTAATCATACTTGACATTAAAGTTACCCTAGACATGATACTAGGAATTTATCATTGTCACCCTAAACATCAAATTAAGGAAAACATCCTAACATGATACTAGGAATCATAATAACAACCTAAGCATGATTTCTATATCATAATATCAATAAATCAATTAAAGTACTTACTTGGATGCCTCGTACCTCTTTCTAATAACAAAATATACACATTAGTAACTTCAAGGAAAATAATAATTAAACAACAATTAAATAATAATTGAAATAGAGATTTGGGACCAAACCCTCAGAAATTAAAACCTTTCACGTCTAGGGCGAAGGCAACTTTGAATATGGCTACGTGTATCTAAGTCTTGGGTGAGTGCGGAATTTTGTATTTGAGTAAAGGCTAGTTTAGAAAAGAGAGAGAGAATAATCAAGAATTTCTTGATGAGAGTTGGTGAATGAAAACGGAGTTTTTAGGAGACTATTTATAGAGAAAATCAGCCAAAAAGATAAAAAATCGAAACAGAGTTCTGACGCGCAAAAACGAGGTTAGCGCCAGACGCTGACATTAGCGCTAACGCTAGCGCCGGCGCCAAGCTTAGCGTCCGGCGCTAATGCTGGCGTTTGGCGCTAATTAAATTATTGACGCGTTTTCTAAAATCAGATAGAAATTAACCATACAGGAGAATAAAATCGTATTTTCCTCAAAAACATTCTTTTATTCTGATTAAAACTCTAAAAAGTCAACAAAAGTCAATTTATCAATGCTAATTGAATTAGGAATGAAAAGAACCTTCTAGAAGAATCTAGAAGACTAAAACCATTCCTAATTGCATTATGAATGAAAAATCTATATTAGGCCCTCCCCTAGATCATTGGGCCGCACATAAGGCTCAAACCGGGCCCAGTTTAGTAATTTGGCCATAACTTCCTCAATATTCATCGGAATTGGGCTTATAATATATCTTTGGAAAACTCTTTTCAAGCCCTATCCAACTACACTACTATTGGACCCATATCATGAACCAACCAAACTGGATTGGCTGTTTTCTTAAAATAGGTTTTAAAAAACAGAGAGAAGAGAAAAGAAATTAAAACTATCCGCAACACTAAACTTTCCACACTTTCACTTCATTCGATTACGATTCGACGTGAAAGGTACTCATCACCGGGTTTGGTTTTGGGGAGACACAAATAGTTGTCTACACCTTCACATTATAAAGTGTTCTAAATTTTTCTTTTAGATTAGAGTTACCTTTTTGAAGTTTTATAAGTATCTACCGTGGAGTAATGCCGGCAACAATCATCTCTTTAATCTCATTAACTTCCTCCCTTGAGAAACGCCGGGTATAAGGATGTCCCGAAATATCACTTGATAAATCATGGTTATGAGAAAGATCTTTAATTTCAACTCTCCAACTACTGTCTTGGTTCATTCTTCCACAAATTTGAAATGGGAAATTCATTAATCGAGTTTCCGACTTTTTCTTTCCACTATTAGGGATACGGCTACGATTAGTTCGATATGATCCACCACATTCACAACCAATAATAACCCATATGTTTATTTTGGATTTTTGAATCACCGTAACAAAGCCTTTGAATAGGCCATTCCCCGAACAGTCTCCAACAATGTTTCTCTATTTGAAAATTTTTGTGATGAAAGGTTATGCATATCAGTTGGCATTTGTGGAGGTTGATGATTATCAAATTGCGGTGAATCTATAAAATCAAAAAATTTAACAAGAATAGTCACAAAATTATATTTTGAATAATCAAAAAGCCATTAGATCGACATATACACTTAGCCTACTGCTAAGAGTTCGATAACACGAGTTTGTTCTTTTGGTTTTACAATAGTACTCTTTTGGTTTTGATTAACACCAAACTTAAAAAAAAAAAACTAATCTTATTATACTATTTTTAATCTCAAAACCTTAAAAAACTGAAATTGAAACATATAGTTTGCAAATAAACTGATTTGATACTAAGGTATAACAATATTGGAATAAACTTGACTCATTATAAAAAATTATAAAAAAAAACTATGAAAAATTCCCTTTAAAACCCTAAGTTAATTTTAGGAAATTTTAGAAAATAACACCACAAAAAAAAAAAAAGTTTTGATTATAACACCACTAAAAAACCCAAAAATTTGATTTCACCACCGCCTAGAGGATGCCATCAAAAAACCGTTTGTGGACCCCACCAAGTACACGTGTCACTTATATATTGGTTAAATTTTTTTTAAAAAAAAACTCAACCCTAAGCTCAGCCACCAAGCCCACCAGGCGGCAGCCCCTACATGCCACCGCCGGTACTACCCCTACCGTCGCCAAGCCACACCGCCGTCCACCCAGCCACCCCCACCCTCCTTAACCAACCCTGAAAAACCCTATTGACCACCAAACTAAACGATTTACCCATCCCCCACAACTCCATAAACCCTAGCCACCACAAAAATGGCGAATAACAGTTGAATTCGGCCGGTTTAGAGCATGAGTTGTCAAATTCAACTCTAAATTGGCCGATCTCGACCACTAGTATCTAATTTTGTTTTGGAATGGAAGAAAAATGGCGGTGGCTATCGGTTTTGAGTGGGGAAAGGAGGTGGTTGCGGGGGTTGTTTGTTATAATAAAAGTTTTTTTTTTGGTGGTGTTAAAACCAAAATTTGTGTTTTTTTATGGTGTTATTTTCTAAAATTTCCTTAAATTTATTGTATAATTGAGTAAAACTCAATCCCCAATTACAAAGATGCTTGTAAAAAATAAAAGATTGAAAATTATTACCATGGATATCATGAGAATGTGAAGAATTTTAGTCTTCAGGGTCATTCTCCTCTATCACATTCTGCAAATCATCTAGCCCAAAAAGCTCCCAAAATTCATTATCATTAATCCCTTCAAAATCAAATTCTCCATCCATCTTCCTAATTATAATAAAGTGCAATTACAATTTAGATATTTTGGACAGGTGAAGTTCCATAAAAAGGTAGAAGATTTTGGGGTTAAAAATTAATGATGGGGTCTAGGGTGTGTACAGGGGAGTTGGAGTAAAAAGCAAAATCAATGTTTACAATTTTGAGAGCTGGGTAATTTACCCACAAAAGGTCAAAATAAAAATTAAAAAAAAAAAAAGTAAAACATTGGCATTGACACGTGAGACTTAGTGCACTTAGAAGGAAATTAGGAAAATAAATTATAGTGGGGCCAAAAGGGGGTGTGCGGAAATCACTGGCCCTAAGTGATTGGTGACCTAATGAACATGTAAGTTTATTTTCTTCTACTGTATAATTTAAATGGCAACCACTTCCCATCCCCTTTCCAATTAGCAAATTCCCTTCCCTTTTGCTTTCACTCGGCAGCCCCCTCCCTTCTCTTTTCTACCTAGTACCCACTTCCCCTTTCTCCGTACATATCTTAATTTCCATTGAAATATTAACTCCACTATTTTTATTCTATTATACTTACTTTTTTTGAAATAAAATTGATTCATTAATAAAAGTCATACGACATCTACAAAGAGATTTAGATCTAACAAATTAAATATATGTAGTATAATAATTAAATCAAATAAAAACATTATATGTAGTATACCCTCTATCATATCGTTGTGATTTACAGCCTTCTTCCACTAGTAGAAAAATACAAAAAGACACCGCTCTATGGCCACCGATTTTTGAAAACCGGTGGCTTAAAAAATGGGCGGGATAGGCTAATTCACATTGCCACCGGTTCAAACCGAACCGGTGGCAAAAATGGTAAAGGCCACCGGTTTGAACCCGTGGCAATAATCAATTAAAAAAAAAAAAAAACGCCCCCCTTATAAACCCCAATCCCTACCTCATTCCCCTCTTATTTCTCTTTCAATTCGTCTTCTCTGTTCTCATCTCCTTTTCTTCAATCTCCTTCTTCGATCTCCTCCTTCTCCTTCTCTTGCTCTTCTCCTTCGTCTCCTTCTCCCTCTTCTCGTCTCCTTCTCCTTCGATCTCCTCGTCTCCTTCTCTTTCATTTCCACCATCACCAAGACCACCACCGCAACAATAAACCACGAAGACATGCACCACGAAGATATGCACTAGGTTTGTGTTTAATTAATCGATTTTTCTTGGTTAATTAATCGGATTTTGTTGGGTTTAATAGATTGATTTTCTGGGTTTAATTAATCATTTTTGGAATTGTTTGAGTTTCTTAATCGATTTTAATCAATTAATTATGGGTTTTTTTTTTTAGTTCGTGAATCAATTTCTTGGTTTTTTTCCTCGGTTTTTAACTTATTTTTGGGATTTTGTTTTTATTTTTGTTTAATTTTTTTTTCTGGGTTTTCTTCTGGGTTTTTGTTTCATTACTAGTTATTGATTTTCCTGGGTTAATTAGTCGATTTTGGATTTTTTGAGTGTTTTCATCGGTTTTATTTCGATTTTTAATTGATTTTAATCGATTCTAAGTCGATCTCCTTCTGGGTTCTATTCGATTTAATTCTGGGTTTTTTTTCTTTTTTTTTTTGAGTTCGTGAAAATCAATTTGTTTTATAGAGTTCGATTTAATTCTCATTTTGTTTTTCATTCTTGTTTTGAAAATCAATTCGATTTTTTTTTTTGAGTTCGTTTTAATTCTCGGGTTTTCACTAATTTCTGGGAATTTTGTTTAATTTTTTTTCTGGGATTTTTTTTTCTGGTTTTTTTTTTCTTTTTTTTTTCTGGGTTTTAGTTTTCTGGGTTATTTTTCTGGGTTTTTGTTTAATTTCTGGGTTTTGTTTATATTTTTGTGTGTTTTTTCTGGGTTTATTTAACCGATTTAAATCGATTTATGGGTACAATGCATACTGTTCTGGTTTTTATTTTTTTTCGCAGCTTATTTATTTTATTTAATCGGTTTTTTTTTTTGTTTTATGCAGGTATATTGATTTAGATGTAGATGTTAAATCGAAGAATAAAGATGCAGGATTATTGATTTAGGTGTTCTATGGGTTGTTTTTTAATTTTAATGTTGTAATTTTTTTTGGTTTTTTATTGTAAATTTTTTTTTTTTTGATTTTAATGTTGGAATTTTAGTTTTGTGTAATTTGATTAATTTAGTTCTTTTGAATTGGAATTGTTGTATGAGTAATTTAGTTGTAGTTATTAATTTAGTTTTTTCACTCTTAAAAATTGTATAATTACTAGATACTGATGAATATATATGTGTTTTTATGTATTTTACATATATGTATAGTTTCTACTACAATTTAAGTGAAATAAATGCAATTTTTTTTTTTTTGTTTTTTACGGGCATTATTGCCACCGGTTAACCGGTGGCAATACTTGTTAATACCATTAAAAAAAAAATTGCGGGAAGCATTATTGCCACCGGCTAACCGCAATATTTGTTTTTGCCACCGGTTTTGAACCGGTGCTTTTTAATAAGATTATTGCCACCCCCAAGGTTCAAAACCGGTGGCATAGGGGGTTTTGAACCGGTGGTCAATTCATATTTTCGTCTAGTGTTCGGCGAAGGGGTCTATCGATCTGTTGTAGTCGTACAGAAAATTTTCGTCTGATTCGCTAGAATGTAATCGAAATATTAAACTCTTTTTCGATCCCGCACAAAACTTTACCCATGAAACAACTCCATAGCAATCCATGAAAAATAAAAAACAACTCTTTTCTCAAAAGAGAGAAGAAAAACCCGATCTTTCGAAGGAGCCAAATCCTCTAAAGAAGAAGAAAAACCCTGTCTTTTGAGGGAGAAATGTTCTTCCTGGAAGATGAAGAGTTATTATAAACCTAAAACGGTAGAAAAAGCACACAAAAACAAACGATTGGGGCATTCCACCAATAAAAATCGATGGAAGCCCCAGACTACCCTCACTTACTTCTTATTATATTGAACTCGATTTTTATTGCCTAAGATCATGTCCTGCTAAAGTGTAACACTAAAAAAATGGAGGGAATTCATTCTTTATCTAAACATACCTTTATGAAGATAATGATATGGCTCGCTCTTTCCGATCCTGTTTATCATTTGGAATTTTTCCATGTATGGTTAAAAAAATTCCTATCAATATTTCTATATTTATTTGAAATTTGTAAATGTTTTTACCTCTTTTTTAGTCCCATTTGTTAGATCAAAACCTTTTACATGCCCCCGATTTACAATAATTTTATTGTACATCGAACATTTTATGAAAAATGACCCTTTTTTTTACAAAAGTGACCCTTTTTATTTACAAAAGTGACCCCTTTTTTTTTTCACAAAAGTGACCTTTAAAGTGACTTTTTTTCCACAAAAGTGGCTTTTTTTTTCCACAAAAGTGACCCTTTGTATAACAAAAGTAATTAAGTTATATATGCAAATTGCAAAACAGAGTCAAAATCTCATTAGTTTTTTTTTGTTTTTTTTTTTTTTGTTTTTTTTTTTAAAAGTAACCCATATTGTGTTACTTTGATTCAAAATTTCTACTACTTTGATGTTATTGCTACTATTGTTACTTGATATGTTGTGAAAGATGAACTATCAATTTATATTCAATTTATCTATTAACGAGGCTCAAGCTCACGACAATGGTGGCGGCGGCGGTGGCTTTCGTAGTGGGTGAAAAATTAGATGAACATACATACATCGAAATTGGCTGTAGAAGATGAATCATTAATCAAAACATGAAAATTATGTTACAAAATCAAGATAAAATCGAAAAAAAAGAAGGAAATTGAAGAACAAAGGAGAGAAAGAGAGAAGAAGAAGTGCAGAGGAGAGAGAAGAGCAGAAAAAGAAGATAAAAAAGAAACCCATGAGGAGAGAGTAAAATAGAAACTGTAGTACTCCGTAAAATTTTCGCACACTCAACACCGCCATTCATTAAATTATTGTAAACCCGGATCAGGTGAAGCTTGCTCAAAGATATATTTGTAATTTGTTACGGCATAACCAAATACCCCCCAGCCAAAGACATGATGCTGTTAACTTCCTTTATATCCACCTTGCTTGCAAACCAAAGGAGTTTTGAGGAAAAGGAACCAGACGGGGATGCAACAATTGTTTCATCATACTCGCTATTACCCCACACCATTCGAGCAGAGTCACATTCAAATAGGACATGATTGATGTACTCTACCTCCAGTCCACAAGCACATAACTCGTCTTGAGTAATATGGCGACGAAAAAGGATTTCCTTGTGACCTTTGCAAGCTTGCCAAACAAAGTGTGCTAATTTCGGGGCCCCTTGAGATTCCAAACTAGTTTCCACATTTCAGCATTTTCCATACTTTCAATCCGGTTTTGCCCCAATACACCTAGCCAATAACCTGATTTTACCGTATAAATCCCATTCTTTGTCGGCTGCCAAAACATCTCATAGAAGGTAAACTCAAAGACAGGTAAAATAGATTGGCAAACAGCAGGTTGAAAGAACTCCTCTACAACGTTTACATTCCACACCCCACTGTTCTGATCAATGAGTTCTGCAACAGTAAGATCTGGCCTGTAATTGGCATTAGGATTGGGCAATGGGATTACGCTACCAGGCAGCCACTTGTCACTCCAAACCTTAATGTTCGACCCATTGCCAACTCTCCATCGCAGCCCCTCAATGAGACAGGGCAGCCTCACTGTCCCAATCTTCAACTTCTGTTCCCTGAAACATAGAGCAAGCACGCCGTGCTTCCTCCTTTGTGATCAACCCATGCTCCATGCTAGTCTTAAGCAAACACTTGTACCCCGACTTGATTGAGCTTCTCTCCACACCATCATTCTTGATGGCTTTAACAATTTGATCCTCACTTCAAGAATGGAAGTGTCTTAAATGGTTTTATTAGTTAAGATTCATCGCACCCTTTCTAGAAATTTAGCTGATGTTCATAGATCAGATAACACCCCCTTGCAAAACACAGAACAGTTTAGAATTCAGATTAGCCTAAGTAAATACAAGGAACACTCAGCATATACCGTCTCACACCAATTAGGATCGTAGCCTAAGTAGTGGTCGCCACTGCACTTCAGGAGGTACACCTATACCTCATAATTTGTGGCATCAATGGACCCGCGTTAGTGTAGCCTCTGCCCCACTCTAGATACAGCTTTTGTTACTCTGAAACCACAACATGCTGTCAAAATCTGATGCTAGTTAGAAAAAAACCATAGAAAGTAAATGCATAAAGTCACTAACTCAGAATTGTTTCAACAAAAGTTCAAGATGAAATGCAAGTTTCAGCAGTTACAGATTACATTAAACTAAGTATTGGTGGGGAGTGCCAGGCCCGTGCAGCAGTGCAACGCATGGGCGACACTTGAGAATCCCAGCAGCAAGCTACTGTGATGGATTCTCCCCCTTAAAAAATAAATTTAATATCGTTGTGAGTCATTGACCCACGTATCAGATATTAAACTGATAAGAACAGATACTACACTTGATCTTAGCCAAAAGGCCGAGAAAGGTATGATTTGCTAAGCTAAACAAACGTCTATTTATTTTCTGGTTATTTCGGCTAATGCTTCACCTAACCAATGTGGGATCACCAACTCCGGAAATCTTCCCATCTCTACCTGGACAGAATTACGATATGGAGTCAGAAATAGCAGTATTAATAGTGCACTAAGTAAAATGAAAAGAAAAAAAAAAAAAAAAAGCAAGGAGCATATATGGGAATGGGGTAGTGTTCAACTTTCGATGAAATTCATAATCACACATATCTCATGTTTGTTTGCCATCTAAAGAGGAAGTCTACATTCTAATGTGGGTGACTTCGAGTTATGTGACTTATGTCTCTATCGGGATTTGCAAATGAGTAATCATCAATTCATCATTAATAGTTTAATACTGTCTCCGTTCTACTTAAATTGCCCCATTTTCAATAAATGGATGTCCCAAAGAGTTAACTCATTTCATCTATGGAATGTTTTTCCCACTTGTCAAACCATGTGTATCCACAAAAAGACAACGAAAAGAACCTGCATGCCTACTCAGTTGAGCCAACTCTTAAATTAGTGGAAAAAAAATTAGAGCAATCTTCACATATATAGCAAACTTCAAAAGTCCTAGAATTAAATTTCTTATAAGTTGCAAATTAATTTTTATCAATCATTTGTGAATTAAAAGGCCACATATTACAACTAAGCTCTTCATTAAATCATGCATCAAAGTTATAGAATGAGCCATTTGTTTTGTCCAGGATGAATTTAACATCATCACAAAACTACTATAGTGGTAAATCAGAGCGTGAGGGTAGCTAATCCTTATGGTCTATCTATCTTTGTCCAAAATGTGATATTGGGGAGTGATAGGGGTTTAAAGGAAGTGGAGAACATTAGGGCCTAGTTTCAACATTGGCCATTTCCAATCAGGAAAATTCAGTTGTAACATCAAACTGATTGTTAATAGTGTGAAGCAACAAACTCATATATTGGAAGTAGGTTGAAACATTTGTTTTTTCACCTTTTCCAGCACACCTCATTCAACCACATAAATGTAATAATTTATCTATTGGTATACAGGGTTGTTCTGGATAAAGGTTTAGGGAACATGGTAAGGGCCAGTATCTGGATATTGGTTTAGGGAACATGATAAGGGCCAGTAATGATCTTCTATCCGGTCTTGAGTGCCTATATAGTTGAGACATGTTAACTACCCTGGAAACTCGCTCATATAGTTAAGTTATAAATAGTCCGATAGGAGTGTAAAGTGTAGAGTAAATCTTTTTGTTATAGATGTTGTGTACCTATGGAATGTTGTGTCTTGGGTATAGGAGTCAAACGATAAGTGTAATGTGGTGATTGCCCCCCCCCCCCAATGTAGTGGTCATGAAGCTAAAGAGCAGCTGCCCAAGTGTCACATAGAAGAGATCTTTGGGACAGGCTGGTACTTGTGATCTTACATCATTGTTTAGCGATCTCGCAGATGTTGCAGCTATATTTTACGTGTCGATATGAGTCCATATGACATCTCATACAACTAGCCCCCAAAAGTGAGTGCATCTACAAGGCAGGTGTGACCACTTTGAATAATGAACTTCATTGGCTGTTGGTTTCATATTTCATCAAGTTGTTTAACCAAGTACGGATAAAAAAGGAAAGTGTTGCAACTAATTAGAAGAGGGAGTAAATTAGGATGATAGGTCTATGATTTTATGAAGCCTACAAAGTTTTATAGTCTAATACATATTGTGTATTTGCAGATATATTGTTTAATAAAGTATAACTTACTTCCAGTGAAAAGCAAGACAATACCACATCGTGTAATTTAAGACCGCTAAGTACAACTCTATATATGCTTCACTCTTCTGCAGTATACTCCACGCAGCCATGCAGTGAGCACAAAGCGAACTATTCTTTCGCCTTTTACTAAAGAATACTGTGTGCTCGCTGCATATAGTGGCATACGTTTATTTTTGGAGGGAGTTCCTTAGATGGAGCTTCCATCCATTAAACTAAGTGCAAGTATATATTGAGATCTATGTAATTATTTTTACATCATCTATTTTGTTTGTCGATTAAATTGTAAAAACAGTTTGGCCGTATATTGACCCTACCCCATAAGGACCTTGTCTGTTAAAGACCCGATCCATTAAAAGCCCTTTAAGCTACCCTACCCAATAACCAGCTCTACTTGTCACAATAACTACGATGAGTTGGGCACATATGGTGCACTACCCAATCACCAAGAGATATTCGACCACTATTGAACATACAGGGCCAACAGGGGTAGAGATCAAATGCATTAATTTACCTGGTATATGTAACACTACAAGATTTTAATCCTAACATCTGGTAAAACATCAGAAGTCAAATGCAGTTATCACCCCAGCCCAGCCCTACTAAAACTAGAAATACCAACGAGCAAGACAGAGATACAAAGGAATCATCTGTCTGCTGAAGATGCGAAGAGAGGAAAATAAGCATAGGAACTGTTTTAGAGATACAAGCCAATGCAATTCAGTCATCTGAATCTATTTTTTCCAAGAGATCACAAGATTGATCAGTTATGTATGCTTATTTAATCATTCCATCTTCAATATTCTGCACAAAGATCTGGGGAGTTGATACAATGATATAAACATGCATACATGAAATACTCAATTATTCACCGTAAATTTATGAAAGTCACTTTTGTAAGGAGATACTGTCCCACATCGATTATTTAACAAGGGGTGTACGAGAAAGATGACTATATAATAAAACTGATTGTGAACATCCAAATTACTTACCTGGACGGGGTCAATGAGTGATCAAGAAGACTCATGGCCTAGGTAGGTGGCCTCCATTGCACTTTAGGAGGGGTGCCTGCTTAACATCTTCCCAAGAGGAAGAGTGTACGTCATAATTTGTGATAGAGGGGGCCTGCGTTCGCGCGGCCCCTATCAAATATCTAGTTCAACCTTCATTGCTGTACTTTTTAATGTCAATGAAATATCTGAAAAGAACTTATGTAGTAAAAAAAAAAAAACCCAAATAAATTAGCAAGCGCTTTATTCTATAAGTGAACCAATTTGACACAGAACATCAGACACTATTGGAATTGATTAAACTCTACCAGCTGTGTGAAAGTTAACAAAAAATCCTAGTTCCTTTTGATAATGATATAGCAAAATAGCATAATTGAGTTACATGTAGAATCATAAACATAGAGTAGTCACACATAAGTAGGATAAGTTTCAGAGTGTAGGTAGCTTAAGTGATATACTAGATCAACAAGCTCGCCTCAGCCTGTAACTCCAGGTTCTGGTGTCAATATTTTCAACACGGACTACAGCATTTAAGTAGCTTTTACAGACCGCTATCCAGAGGGCCTGAGAAATCTCTATATCCAATCCCCATGGCCAAATGGTATTTCAATTTCATATTAAGCTGGAAAAATTCATATGTAAAACCAAAAAATACAGAAATAATGAGGAAGTAAAAGCCAGCAGATGACATTGTGTCTGTAGAATTATTCCCTAAAAGACGGCACGCACATGCATTTCTTAATCTATGTGGATCAATGTTTCTATGCTTTGTAGCAAAATTATCGCAATTTATGATGTAAAAGACAGGCACAACCTTCCCACATCAGTCAAAAAAGAAAATCTAAGCTAGGACTTTGTGGTATAAATAACAAAGCTTGTTACTGCAATCATCACGCAGCCATGCAGTGAGCACAAAGCGAACTATTCTTTCGCCTTTTACTAAAGAATACCGTGTGCTCTCTACATTTAGTGGCATACGTTTATTTTTGGAGGGAGTTCCTTATAGGAGCTTCCAAAAAAACAAGTACAAGTAGATCAATTTGCTAAACTATGGTATGATATAAGCACCAAGTCAGATTAATGAGATATGAATTGAGTAAACTTTGTAATAATACCTTGCAGCAGTCTGAGGCATCATGGTGCTCAAGGACTCGAGGATATATGCCATACATGACAACAATTTAAACTCCCCATATCAGGGTTAGAAAAATAAAACTGTTAGTGGCGCAGTCATGAAACAGACTGCAGAAGAACATAACCTGCTAAAAGGAGAAATAAAACTGTTAGTGGCGCAGTTAAATATAAAACAGAATGCAGAAGGAGAACATAACCTGCTAAAAGAAGTTTCGAATGTCCCAAAAAAAAAAACAAAGATAGAAAGAACAAATGTTAAGACTGTATCTCAAGGTGGCATCATCTCTGCACGCGAACCAGGATGACTGTCAGTACAACTGCATTCATTAAGCAGAAAATACACATGAAAACCCTCACACAGCAAGTAGTTTTATATACTACTGTTACACAGCTAGTATAGAAACCACAGAGAATAAGTCATAATTTGTGAGTGGGAGCCTGGGCTCTTACAGAACTTACCTAATTATATCAGAATAATAAACTTGCAGTACGTATAGCTACACTGACAACCTCAGTAGTGCTTGTAGAAGTGTAAGTTCCATCAATCAGGACTCGGGAGAAAACCAAAAACTATTGAAGATACATCAAGTCCATTTTTCTTGTTCTTGCCAGCACCAAAACCTCAGCTCTAGCTGTTCAAGCACATTCTCTGGTCACTTGAATTCTACAGAATTGGACCGGGTTGAAAAACACCATACATTTGTGTCATTTCACACAGAATACGCATGCATACCATCAAATCAGCAAACGAATGGTGTATATGCACACAATATTTGAACCGGATAGTATGTATCAAATTGGTAAATATAGGCAGGTTTTATCGGAGTTTCTCTGTTGAAAGACTTGAAACCCATTGATTGAAGATGTCAAAGAGTAGTTGAGCAAACTATTCTTTCACACTTTACTAAAAAATACTATCTGCTTGTCGTATTAAACAGCATACATTAGTTGGTACAACAAATTACAATTGTAACAATTACTACTCTTTGAAGCTCAGCTAGGCTCATTAACAGCCCTAGAGAAGGTACAAGTTTACAAAAATTATCACATTGGTTCTCTTTTTCAATTACTCTCTTCTCTCATACTAAAATAATGTTCATGATTCTTCAAAAAAAAAAAATGTTCATGATGTTCCTTAAATGGCTTGTACTATCATTTCCTTCTCAATTTTGCATTGACAGTAACGCATCCAAAGAGTTCCTACCAACATCTAGTTCTCATGAGCATTAAACCTAATTCGGTAATTCCCTTGACTGGTAGTCGGGCACCATCCCTATATGTCTCTAGCATCTTTACATTGGATTGCAATTCATGTGCTTGCAATAAGTGTCACCAAACACCATTTTCTATTTCTTCTATATCCACTATGTCTCCTCTTCAAAATTGTTATTTAGTTGTAAATAATTTGTACGTATGGTTAATAACAATTTTAAGGATTGACTTGACATAGTCAATCCTTATCATGCACATTGTGTGAAAATGTATGTCATGAGCCACATTAAAGCATACCATGTCCATCAAAACTCAAGACAGCTTTAAAAATAAAGAAGGTATGCTATTAAAGATAATATTTTAAACAAAATAGGAAGAAAATATATTTCCTATAAAAATTATAAAATAACAGCAGAAAGGGGGGCAAAAGAATAAAAATAAGAGCAGGAGAATAGATTTGGACCATTTCTGGATTTTGTGTATCATCTTGGTGTAGAGGCCATGCTAATCTTCACAGTATAGTTCCAATTTATGGGATGTACCTGAAGTGAAAATTAAATAGTGAAGTTAAAAAAAACTATTTCAGCACCACAATAATGTATGTTGATGTAGAATTGCAGATTTAAGTTACAGTACCACAATGGATTTCCGGTCACATAATTGTCTAAGAGCCTAACAACATATCAAGAATTTGCACTGCCAAGTGCCAAGAAAAATATTTTCTCATTGGATCCACCTCTTCACCAGTCACTACATGTTCCACCACTACTCAAATTGTGAACGCTGTAGAAACGAAAATTATTTGATCAGAAAATAATCAGACGGGGTCAATTTAACTAATAAAGAACACTTCTTGAATAATTGACCATCAAGCCTTGGTAGATTAGTCTCAGTAACAAAAAATCAGAAACATACTACTTAAACAACATAGATTTGTCCATGACATCATAGAGTACGGAATACAAATACATACAGTTTGAGAGATTCTGAGAAACTTTTGAGCTGAGTATTGGTGGGGTGCACCAGGCCAATGCAGTAGTGCAACGCATTGGCGACGCTTGAAGATCCCAGTAGCAAGCTACTGTGGTGGATTTTCCCCCTTAAAAAATAAATTTAATATCATTGTGGGCCATTGGCCCACGTATCAGATATTAAACTGATAAGAACAGATACTACACTTGATCTTAGCCAAAAGGCCGAGAAAGGTATGATTTGTTAAGTCTAATCTCCTGCGTTTTATTCCATAACGTCTCCGCACCCTCGTTATTTCTTTTCGATGTGGTACAGAACTTCAGTTTTGGATAGGAAATCAATATCATTTCTTATTAGGAGTCCTGTTCACAGAAAACTTCCTCAAGAGTACATGATAAAGAGTGTATTAGCAATAAAAAGACCAAAGTCCTAGAATCTAGTGGGTTTTGTGATGAATATAGAAAGGTTTATCACACATAAATACTTCACGTGTTCACAAATAATATTCTTGTTAAATTTAGACGTACGTATTCTGAAATTTACTACGTATTAGGGTGGAGTGGAATGTGAGAAAAGAAATTTAATAAAGGGGTCCACATCACATGGATTGAGTGTAAAAATTTTCATTTTCAGGAAGATTATGTGTGGACATCCTAAACGGAGTGCAGGAAAAATCATTTGTGAACGGAGGGAGTAATATATAATAGTAGGTTAGCTGCTAATGTGCATATCCAAACTTCCATCATGAGCAAATGAAGAAATTGGTTTATTACACAAAAACATCCGTCGGTTTTATAGTCATTGCAATGTTCACATAATCCAACTTTGTCCATAAGTTTACTTCATTTCTTTTTAGTTATTCTTCCCTATATGGAATGTTTGAAAATAGTTATTCAATTTCACACTTTGGTAATACGACCTAATTGCTCTTACTGATGATACAAATCATACAATGTTGCACCATATATTGGCGTCGTATGATTCGTATCCGAGGATTTGACACTCTACTGATTTTGTCCCATACGTTGATACAATCAAAAGAACGTCTGGACGAATTTTCTATATATCATATAAAATTTTTAAGGATAATCTTTTGGCACTCTACATTTACACCCCTCTTTAACAAGAGTAAAGAGACCATGTTCCAAAAAAAATTGTATTGAAAAGCCAAACTTTTAGTGGTTCGCGAATAAAAATCTCGTCTTTCCATGATTCCTAATAATCCGAACTTTTAAACTCATACTGTTTAATGAGCCGAGCCCTCAACAATTAAAAAAAAGCCTATTGTAGGCTGGTAACATATTATCTATCCATGGTCACAACTAATTGGTGTAACTAGAACATTATGTATCCATCAATAATTCTTTAAAAAAAAAAACAAAAAAAAAAAAAAACCTTCCCAAACCACCACCACCGACCTCCTCCCCCACCATTGCCGAACACGTTCTTCTCTACCACCCAACCTAAAATTTCTTCCCCCCTCCATCAGCTACCTAACACCCAACACCAACACCCCTCCATGGTCACAACTAATTGGTGTAATTAGCACATTATCTATCCATCAATAATTCATTTTTAAAAAAAAACCTTCCCAAACCACCACCACCGACCTCCTCCACCATTGCCGAACACATTCTTCTCCACCACCCAACCTAAAATCTCTTCCCCCCTCCATCAGCTACCTAACACCCAACACCAACACCCCTCCCTAAAAAAAAGGAAGGCAACTTAGGAAGTCATGTGATTAAGTGACTTAGATTTATGTACCAATAATAAGTAACCTCATAATAGGGTAGCCACTTCCTCCCTCTACATGCAAGTTAAACCACGTAACAGATATTAAATTGATAAGAACAGACACTACACTTGATAAAAAAAAAAAAAAAAAAAAAAAAAAAGCAAAACACATATTAAAAGCAGGGGCAAAAAGGTCAAAAAAATAGGGGCCATACTAGTCTTCTCTTTATCGTTCCAATTTTATCAGATGTCTCTATACACTATTTTCAGCAGACAATCAAGTGCTAATTTCATGGTATAGAGCATGTAATACAGTCAACAGCAAAAGAACATTATATCACTGGAGGGAAACAAAAAAGAAGCAAAACACACTATAAACAGGGGCAAAAAGGTCAAAAAAATTTGGACCATTTCTCGATTTGTGCGTGTCATCCTTGCGCAGGGGCCATGCTAATCTTCTCTGTATCGTTCCAATTTTATCAGATGTCTCCGAAGAGACAATCTCTATCTAGAAGCCAAGCTTGATAAAGAGACCAGTAGCTTTGTAAGTAATCAATGTGGGACTAGATAAGAGACCAGTAGCTTTGTAAATAATCAATGTGGGACTAGAGATTAAAGCAGTTGACTTACAAGTTACAACCAAGTAGCAACCATGAAAGATCTTCAATAACCAACAATAGTAAAAGTAGTGCCTGTAAGTTGTCCGTTGGCAGGAGAAAGCAAAATAGAATTATATGCAAAGCATATGAACAGCACTGGAAAGGCGGCAACCTCCTTTGTTTTGGTTCTCACCCAAGTTGTGCCAATTCTTTGATTTATTATCTGAGGCAATAAAGCAGTAAGGTTATGAATAACAGCACCATGTAATCAAAATCTGACTTACAGAAACATAATCCAACATATGGTAAGCAAAAGCTACAAAGGAATCAAATTATAGAGTTCGCATGTTAAGAGGTAGCATAGTTTTTGTTTTTATAAACCCCATTGTAATTGAAGAGACGTCATAAGCACATCACAATAGAGCACATAAAGCTTCAGAGTTCAGAGCAGAAAACAAAATAAGCTGTAAACAACATCTAGGATCAAGTGAAGAAAAACAGACTAGAGAGGAAAATTTTAAAAGAGGGGGGGGGGGGTTAAAAAAAAAAAAAAAAAAAAAAAAAAACCAAGCTGAATAAACACTACAGATTGATGCTGGAGGGGTAGGAAAGGAAAAAAAATTTGGACCATTTCTCGATTTGTGCGTGTCATCCTTGCGCAGGGGCCATGCTAATCTTCTCTGTATCGTTCCAATTTTATCAGATGTCTCCGAAGAGACAATCTATAGTAGAAGCTTGTGTAATATAAACAAAGTGGTATCTTCATATTGTTTCAATGTGGGAGATCCAGGCTTCACACCTAGTCACCTATATGGCCATATCAGCCTCCAATAACCTAGAAATTTGCAAATCTCAAATTACCATCCCATATCTTTTAAGTAAACTACTTTCTGATAATCTGATTACCACTAGTACATGTTACAAAACAAACCTAAACAACATTTCAAAAATTCTACGATCCGTCTCCAAGTATGACCGACTTTAAGACTATGCATTTCTAATTTATTTTTAATTTTTTGAAAATGACTTCAGAGCCATTCAGACAAAACAGAGCACATAGAAAATAGGATTGATCCGCCATGGAGGGGAAATTTGGCAATCAGGTTCACAACTCTGACATGAAACAATGCCAGCCATTCTGAACAGCTTGCAAAGATGACTCCCATAGTCCCATTTGATCTTGTTTGAAGTGTTTAAAACAAAGATGGATAAAATAAAATTAAAAACTGACAAGGACCCTAACTAAAGCGTTAAGCATACATAGTCCTGGCGTCCTACCATTGACAAAAACAGTTGTATACAACATACACAGGTGATGTCAAAATTGCTAGAGTAAATTTTAACAGCGTAACACCTCTAAAATTGTTTTCCAAGCCGAGTCATAGGGGTGTATATAAGCCTGTGTAGTAATGTGATAGAAGGCAATGCTCTAAGATCCAGGTAAGCAAGCTACAATTATGGAGTATTCCCTTCAATTAATTTAACATCATTGTGGGTGAATGACCCACAAATCAACTATTCTGCTGAAGTGCTGATAAAAACTTAATAACAGATACTAAAACTAATCTTACCGCCAAAAGAGAAAGAAAGCCATAACAGTCCTCTGTCGAATTTCTGATCATTCCAGCCTCAACCATCGCCTGTCTGTGAGAGACAGAGTCAATATTCAACATGTGGAATGGTCTATTTCCAATCAAAGATTAAGCCTGTAATTTAACACAAACAATTTAAGATGATTTCAGAAACAATTTTATCAGAAACAAATTAAACAACTAGTGCCTTTCAACACACACACAGCTTCTGCGTAGTCAGGAGCCTACTTGTATTCATAAAGTAAAGCATTAAGAGCAGATAAATGGGACAAAAACAACTAGAGTAAAAATTTATTGCCACTAAGCACTGTCCAAAATAAAATAAAAAAATAAAAAAAATCACTCGTCAAGAACTAGCAAAGGTTAGTGAGCAACTACCACAGTAGACAAGCTTTATCTTCGACAAATTTTCCAGTACAAAGCATTATCTTCATTTAATTAAATGAGTAACTAGCAAATGTTCTAATGGATGCACTAAAGTAATAAATGACAAAGAATGACAAACAAATTTATGCAGTTCACTAATAATGTGTTAGCTAAATATAAAGGATCAGGAAAGAACAATCTCAACTTATTACGTCATCCAGCTTATAGCAACTACAACTGATTAATCCTTGTGGCATATTAAGCACAAGGCTATGTCATGGATTTAGCTAGAGGTACGGCCCAGCCCGTCAAGGTTTACTCAAGAAGGCCCAAGTCAAGAATGCACAAGGTTCAGCAAGAAGAAAGTAGCCGTTTGATTGAGGGAGTTAATGACGGGGACATCTAAGAGAGTCAACTTCAACAAAGAGAAGAGACAAAGCTCATTAAAAGTTTATTAGGGAAAGTAGCAGGAGTAATTTATATGTCTTATTTTGGGTTTTGCTATTTTTATGTCTAATAGTCACATGTATCTCTTTTGTCATGGGAAAGCTTAGTATTAGTATGAGTAGAGAGTAATTGTAGAGGGCATCCAGAAATTTAGTAAGAACCTCTTGAGAGTAGTAGCCTCAAGCTACCAGGAGATTTATGGCCTCAAGCCATTGACTATCCACTGTGATCATCAGTTTAATTAATCAAATTAACCATCAAGCTTTCCCTTAATTTGTTGTCTTAGTAGTATAATTGCTGTGTGGAATTCGGTCTTTGACAACTTGGTATCAGAGCGGTACGGTCATGGTGGGGGGTCCATCGTTAACCCAGCGTGCCGACGCGGTGGACGAAAAAATTGAGGAGGTGGAGTCACGCTTGAAGTCAATTGAAGAAAAGCTGACCAACCAAGACGTTTCAATCGGGCGAGCAGTCGCGGAGGCAGTAGGGAGGGCTATGGCCGAAACACAGAAAGCCATAACCGACCATTTCACCACCCTGTTCGAGTCGGAGAGGAAAAGGCAGGAGGACGACCGAATCAGACTCGAAGGAAGGATAGATCGGCACCGGCAGGACCAGGAAATGCAAGCTACCCTCAGTGCCAAGGAACAGGACAAATTCAGAGAGGAAATTCGGAAAGCCGTGGCGGCGGCCACCACAATCAGAGCGCCACCACCACCACCACCGCCCCCTTTGTCCCCTGTTGGCGAGGGAAACAGCCAAATTCATGGCGAAAATGAGGTACGTACCCCGAGAGAAGAGCATTTTGGCATGCCGCATTGGAGGGAACCTAGAGGGTGGAACGACAGAGGTTAGTACGACGGCGGAGGCGGAGGCCCTTGGAAACAGAAGAAGCTCGATATGCCGACTTTCGAAGGAAAGGACCCAGATAATTGGGTCATGAGGGCTAAGATGTATTTCGACTTTTACCGTCTTTCGGAAGAAGATAAAGTCACCGCGGCGGTGGTGGCCATGGACGGACCGGCGTTGCAGTGGTACCATTGAGAGAATAGGCGGAGGCCGGTGAAGGGGTGGGCGGATCTGAGGATGAGAATACTGAGGGAGTTCCGACCGACTAACTCCGGCACCCTACAAGAACAGTGGCTCGCCGTGACTCAGACATCGACGGTGGAAGAGTACCGGCGAAAATTTATCGAGCTCGCGTTTCCAATTGAAGACATTCCTGAGGAGATCATGCGAGGTCAGTTTATAAATGGCCTTAATGAGAAAATCAGAGCTGAACTGAGGTTGTTGGATCCGGATTCCTTGGAGCGGGCCATGGAGTTGGCGGGTAGGATTGAAGAAAGGAATCGGGTCACTGGAGAGAAGAAGGGGGTGGGCCCTTGGCGGGTCGGACCGAGTTCAACGAGGCCCAGTTCAAGTGCGGGCGGTAGTAAAGGAGGGGGGTTGATCCAAACTTATGGGTTGCCCACTAACACGGGGCCCACGAGAAGTTGGACCAAGCCACAAGAATCTCAAGGGTCTGTTAGTATGGGCCGGCCCAATGCAAGCCAAATCCTTAAATCCACCACACCAGGAGACTTACTGAATTTGAGTTGGCAGAACGTCGAGCAAAGGGACTTTGCTTTAGATGCGATGAAAGATGGGGGGCGGGGCATAGGTGCAAGCGTAAGGAGTTGAGCGTCTTGATGGTGGCTGAAGGGCCGAGGAGAGGGAGGAAGAGTTAGCTGAGGGGGAGGAAGAGGAAAACGTGGAAATTTCATTATGTTCCGTGGTTGGGATTTCAAATCCTAAAACCATGAAACTCAAGGGGTCAATTCATGGGAAGGAGGTGATTGTGATGATCGACCCGGAGGCGACGCATAATTTCGTGTCACTCCGGATAGTCAAGGATTATGGAGTGCCGAGAGAGGAGGCCGGAGAGTTCGAGGTAGCATTGGGTAAGGGCGAAACAGTGAAAGGGTTGGGAATTTGTCGTGGCGTTAAGTTGGGGTTGAAAGGTGGAATTACCTTGGTGGAGGATTTTCTACCTTTGGGTCTTGGGAATGCCGATATTATTTTGGGGGTGCAATGGTTGGAGAAGCTGGGAGCGGTCACTACCAATTGGAAAACGCATGTCATGAAATTCACTATCGCCGGGGTTCCGGTGACATTAGTGGGTGATCCTTCCCTTGAGAAAACCCAAGTATCGTTAAAGGCCATGATTAAAGGGTTGAGCAAAAATAGAGGTGGGTTGTTAGTAGAGATCAACCTCGTGGAGGAGGTAAGGCAGCCGCAAAGGGGCAGCCTAGCACCCCGTTTTTTGGAGCGAGTGTTGGGCGAGTACGAGGGAGTCTTTGAGATGCCGGAGGGGCTACCTCCTAGCCGTGACCATGAGCATGCAATTCTACTCAAAGAAGGGAGCAACCCCGTTAGTGTTCGACCATACCGTTATCCCCAAGCTCAAAAGGATGAGATTGAAAGGCTCATCCAAGAAATGTTGAATGCCGGTATTATTCAACCATCCACAAGCCCTTTTAGTAGCCCGGTGCTACTAGTGAAGAAGAAGGATGGGAGTTGGAGGTTTTGTGTTGATTATAGGGCGCTTAACAAAGAAACGGTGGCCGAAAATATCCTATTCCCGTCATCGACGAGCTACTTGATGAGCTCCATGGGGCAACCGTCTTCTCCAAGCTAGATTTGAAGTCCGGCTATCATCAAATCTGAATGAAAACCGATGACATCCACAAGACCGCGTTTAGAACTCATGAGGGTCACTACGAATTTTTAGTGATGCCTTTTGGGTTGACTAACGCGCCGGCGACTTTTCAATCCCTTATGAATGTGGTGTTTAAGCCATATTTAAGGAAATTTGTGTTAGTTTTCTTCGACGATATTTTGATATATAGTCGTGATGAGAAGGAGCATGAGAGTCATGTGAGAATAGTGTTGAAGACCTTAGCCGAACACAAGCTATATGCTAACAAGAAGAAATGTGAATTCGGGAGTTCGAAGGTGGCCTATCTCGGGCACATCATTTCTAGTGAGGGAGTAGCCATGGATGGAGATAAGGTGGATGCCATAGTGAGGTGGGAGACCCCAAGAAACTTGAGGGAGCTTCGGGGTTTTCTTGGGCTAACCGGTTATTACCGGAAGTTTGTGGCCCAATATGCCCAAATTGCCGGCCCCCTTACTTCCCAACTTAAGAAAGATTGTTATGGGTGGTCACCGGAAGCCACTTTAACATTTGAGAACCTCAAGAAAGCCATGACTACGGTCCCGGTGTTAGCTATGCCGAATTTTTTGAAGGAGTTTATCGTGGAGACCGATGCCTCCGGATTTGGGGTGGGAGCCGTGTTATCTCAAGAGGGAAGACCGATCGCGTTCTTTAGCAAGCTCTTAGGAGTTAGAGCTAGGGAGAGATCAATTTACGAGAAGGAGCTCATGGCTATTTGCTTGGCAATTTTGAGGTGGAAACACTACCTCCTTGGGAGGCACTTTGTTGTAAGAACCGATCAACAAAGTTTGAGGTACATCACTCAACAAAGGGAGGTGGGTGGAGAGTACCAAAAATGGATGAGAAAGTTGGTGGGATTCGATTTTGAAGTTCAATATCGGCCGAGGGCTTCAAACCGTGTTGCGGATGCGCTGTCAAGAATGGATTATGCAAAGGTGCAATTAGGAGCCTTGGTTCATTCTCACGTAGTGGATTGGAGCGAGTTGGAAAGGGAGATTCAACAGGATAAGTGGTTAGCCCAACTCAAAGTGGGCCTGGAAAATGGCCAGGAAGGCCCGGCTGGGTTTTATTTGGAGGGTCAGAGAGTTGTATTCAAGGGAAGACTTGTATTGCCCAAATCCTCGAAATTCATTCCAATTCTGTTGAGGGAATATCACGACACGCCGACGGGGGGCCACGACGGAGAAGTAAAAACCTATCTCCGTTTGGCGGCGGATTGGTTTTGGGGAGGAATGCGGCGCGAGGTTGGGGAATATGTGCGCCATTGTGAGGTATGTCAGCGAAACAAGGCCGTTCAACAACATCCTCTTGGCCTACTACAACCACTTCCAATTCCGGTGGCTACTTGGGAGGATTTATCAATGGATTTCGTAGAAGGGTTACCGCTATCCAAAGGGTTTGATTCGGTTTTGGTAGTGGCGGACCGTTTATCAAAATACAGCCACTTCATTGGGTTGAAACACCCTTTTAATGCTTTGAAGGTGGCCGATTGTTTCGTCAGGGAGGTGGTGAGGTTACATGGATTTCCGTCGACCATTGTTTCGGATCGAGATCGGGTTTTTATGAGCATATTTTGGCGAGAATTATTCCGGATGCAGGGCACCCACTTGAAGCGGAGCACCGCCTATCATCCACAATCGGATGGTCAAATGGAGGTTGTGAACAACTTACCTCCGGTGTTTCATCACAAATCAGCCTAAGAAGTGGGCTGAGTGGCTGTCGTGGGCGGAGTATGCCTACAACACCTCCCCTCACACTTCCACGAGGCTCACCCCATTCAAGGTGGTCTACGGGAGGGACCCCCCGAAATTGTGGCGGGTGGGCAGTGGTCAGACACCGGTCGACCAATTGGAAGCTTGGTTGCAAGAAAGGGATCTAATTCTTGACGAGCTGCGCGTGAATTTGATGAGGGCACAGCAATTGATGAAAGAGTACGCTGATAAGAAGAGGAAGGATGCGGAATTCGCGGAGGGGGACTTAGTATTTCTGAAATTGCAACCGTACCGACAGCGATCACTAGCCAAACGGCCAAATGAAAAGCTCAGTGCTCGTTTTTATGGTCCCTTCAAGGTAATTCGACGCGTGGGAAAGGTGGCGTATGAATTGGAATTACCATCATCAAGTCGAATCCATCCGGTTTTTCATATATCTCAATTGAAGAAGGCTGCCGGAAGTGTACCAGTCAACCCAACCATACCGGCGCAACTTACAGCAGAGTTGGAATTACTAGTGGAACCCGAGGAGGTGTTGGAGGTGCGCAAGGGCAGGGAGCAAGAAACAGAGGTTTTGATAAAGTGGGTGGGATTACCCGCTTTCGTGGCTACGTGGGAGGAGTGCACCGCCATTGCGCGGCGTTTTCCCGAGTTCCACCTTGAGGTCAAGGTGAATCTCGAGGCGGCGGGTATTGTCATGGATTTAGCTAGAGGTACGGCCCAGCCTTCAGCTAGAGGTACGGCCCAGCCCGTCAAGGTTTACTCAAGAAGGCCCAAGTCAAGAATGCACAAGGTTCAGCAAGAAGAAAGTAGCCGTTTGATTGAGGGAGTTAATGACGGGGACATCTAAGAGAGTCAACTTCAACAAAGAGAAGAGACAAAGCTCATTAAAAGTTTATTAGGGAAAGTAGCAGGAGTAATTTATATGTCTTATTTTGGGTTGTGCTATTTTTATGTCTAATAGTCACATGTATCTCTTTTGTCATGGGAAAGCTTAGTATTAGTATGAGTAGAGAGTAATTGTAGAGGGCATCCAGAAATTTAGTAAGAACCACTTGAGAGTAGTAGCCTCAAGCTACCAGGAGATTTATGGCCTCAAGCCATTGACTATCCACTGTGATCATCAGTTTAATTAATCAAATTAATCATCAAGCTTTCCCTTAATTTGCTGTCTTAGTAGTATAATTGCTGTGTGGAATTCGGTCTTTGACAGGCTACAAGCCTACATCCTACTAAGGCATAAATCATGTTTCTTTGAAACCATAAATCATTGTTTGTTCAAATTGTAGGAAAAGATAAAACCAAAAATCATGAGACCGGAAGCTAAGAATAAAAGCATCCTCCAACAAGCTAGGATAATTAATTATATACTTTGTATTAGCCCCAACAAATGGTAAAGAATGATACCCTTTTTATAGCAATAGCCTTACCACCAGTTACAAACACTACATGTCTCCACAGAAGCCAAAATCTTCAGAATATCCAAGTGTCAAAGAATTGAGGAATTAGAATAAATAGCAGTAAGATAACTAAAA